TTGCCCAATTTACACAAAATTGAAAAAGTGTTCCCGTATAGTCACAGTCTAATTTGCAAACAATTCTGTGCGACATTTTCACTTATACTGTGCTTAGCTTGGCGGCATTTTTACATTTTTCAATGATTTTTCACAAAATTGGAAAATGCTCCAGTATATAAACAGACTAAACGCACTTGGGTAAACATTTGCACCAGAGTGGGGCTTAGACTGTGCTTAGCCTGGGTGAATTTTTAATCCAAATTACAAATACTTTTTGAAAAAAAAAATTAGAAACAAAATTTTTTTTCTAAAAGCAATTATTTAGTTGAAACAGGCAGAAAGTTCTTTGAATCATTTAAATTGGACTCTTGGTTCTCTCAAAAACTGCCATTTTTTGCACATTTAGCTCCGTATCTTCGAAATGGCTGGGCCTGCCTTTGCCAAAAACTAATCACCACTTCTTCCCATCATTACTGATAGAATGTTTTTTGAATCATTCAAATCTGATACTCCGTTCTTTCAAAAACTCGATTTCTATTTGCTCTTTGGTCCGAATCTCCGTAACGGCTGAACCTGCCTTTGCCGAAAACTAATCAGCTCAACTCCCTAGCAATAGAAATCGAATGTTTTTTGAATCATTCAAATCGGTTGATGCATGCACCCGAAAACTTGGACGAAAAATTGTATCTATACACACATACTCACATACACATCGATATGTTTCGAGTCCCAGTTTGTCCCTTCGTCAGTGAATAAAACACTCGAAAAAAAAACTATCGATTACAAACAACTTAAGTATGTTTACTTGTACTTAATAATGTTTCAAAAAAAAATTCAAGAGGGTTTCATACGTTTCGAGTCTCAGTTTGTCCCTTCTTCAGCGAATAAAATAACTAATAAAAAGAAACAATTAATAAAAATCAATCATTGATTAATTTATATATATATATATATATATATATATATATATATATAAACAAAACCTAATCGAGCCTATAAACGCGTGTTGATAAACATACAGAAATTTAATAAAAAAATTGTTTCAAAAAAAACTCAATAGACTTTCATACGTTTCGAGTACCAGTTTGTTCCTTCTTTAGTGAATAAAACTCTAACTGGAACTTCCCGTACCTTAATTAATAAAATATTCGAAAAATGAAAATAAACAATTAACATAAAAATCAATCATTGATTAATTTATGAACTACTTATTAGGGAATGCAATACAGCAATATCTTCAAGTGATTCTATAGGATAAACAAATGTCAAATATTAATTCACTCGTCATTAAACTGAATGTTTATTGCTTTCCAAAGGGCTTCATATCGTGTTACAATAAATAGAATTGGACTGATAGATAATAATGTTTGTTTCATCTTATGTAAAAATGTAACGGTTTTTCAAGTGGTATTTAAATAACAATATTCAACAATTATAGTAACTTATTATTTATCTCGACAAAGAATCCGATCTTAAATTAGTGTAGAATTTTTTTTTTTAAATATTGGAGATTATGCTAATTTAACTCATCGGATACAGACAATACAGTTTGGTATAATAATGTAATATGATCTTTTATGAGTTTTTGGTCTTTCTTACTCATAAGTTTGTTTTTGGTGAAAAGTACTCAGTATACTCGATAGTGTAAATGAATTAATTAAATTGCATATACTTTTGGTAAATTATTATTTAAAAAAAAATAAACTTATTGTTTTATTTAATTGTTTAGTTGAATATAGTTGTAGTTGTATGTACATTTTTTTTTATATTTGTACTAGTAACTTTCAATTTTGTTTACGTTTTTGTAAGATAATAAAAATACCGGTAATTTACCGGTATTCCGGTTTTAAAATGAAAATTACCGAAATACTGGTATTGAAATTTTTCATCGGTATTGCATTCCCTACTATTTATGTATATTTACAAGAAATGTTAACATATATAAACAAAACCTAATCGAACCGAGTTCAAACGATTATTGGAGGGGATATATTGTAAACATTCTCAGAAAATAAATATCCATTTTTTCTAAGGTATGCCAAAATGTTCAGAAACCTTTGAAACGTGAAGATCTGCAAAAACTTGCAATTTCGATTTTTTGCGATTACTATAACTTGCCCTACGGGAAGTTAAAAATATATTCAAAAGTTAAATATTTACTTATAATTTCACGTGTCAGAATGATAAAATATTTATTTTCATTTATGTATTTATTATATGTATTTGACTTAAGGGGCACAACTAGTGTGAAATTTTGGAAAAATCGATTTTTGTTTTTTTTCATATTTCGGTAGATTACACCTTTAAAAATAACATTAAAATTTCAAATCGATATTTCAAATAGTTTTTGAGTTACAGCCATTTAAATAGTATACATATAGTATATAGTACAACGATCATTTTATCATTAAACGCGTTTTTCTCGAAACAGCATTTTCCGAATTTGCTGCAGTGATTACTCAAAAACTAATGATCCGATCACTATCAAATTTTTTACATGTTCTATATATAGTTCTCCGTAAAATGAACTATTGATTTTTTGATCGGATCAAAATAGAATTTTGGCGGTCGAAAAACGACCAAAATTTTGGGTAAAATTCGACTTTTTTTTTTTAAAAAACGCCGTCATTTTGTCAATTTTTGATTATTTTTTTCATCGTAGTTCACTTTACAGACAATATTATCTAGTTAACGAGAATTTTTTTTTTTATTTCATCCACGTCAAGGGCCGGAATCACTGCAGCAGTGAAGGGCCTTTTTTTGTAGCGCCGTTGGAGATCGACGATAACTTAAAAAATATTTAATTTTTTCTCTCAAAAATTTTACTATGTATTCTTAAAACATGTATGAAATACTCCTAAAATTTTGAAATGATTGATAAAGTAGTTTTTGTAATATAAATTCCCAAAAATCACCTTTTTTTTAGGCGGTTACACTAGTTGTGCCTCTTAAATAACGACATACTGGATGTCTATATGCGACACTCGTGCACACAGATCGCCAAAATCTATTCTTGAAATTAACCAAATATCAATTTTCTTCTTCCCAGGAAAGATCGAAAGCCAAAAGAGCCAAAGAACGTGCAAAGCAACGAGCCTTGGCCAAAAAGCAGCAAAACATGACCCACCGACAAACATCACCAACCCGGAACAAGTCTCCGATAATACATCAAGGATGCTTGAAGACTCCTATTCGAATCCTGTGGACTTGATTACTAGTCCACAAAACAATTCTGTCGAATACAATTATACGAATCCTTTGGATTGTCGGCGAACTGGGAATGAGGCGATAGGAACCAAATTAGGGATTTGCACATAGGAACCAAATTAGGGATTTGCACAAGCCGGGGCGTCTTGTGGTGGAGGAGAGATGAACAAGGTAAGAAGATAATACATATACAATATATATATCTATATATATATTAATACTATCTAACCCGGCAAACGTTGTTTTGCCATAAAAAATATGCCTAAATTGATAAAATTAATAAAGTGCCAAAAATCAAATATTTATTAGATTTGGACTCTGATTCTTGACAATAGTTAAAAACTTGTATCAAATTTTCAAATTATTGGACTTTCATACTTCAAAAAATAATTCACTCGCATCATAGTTTTTTTGTTTATTATACTTTGTCATGTCATATAATTTTTTGTGTATATTTAATTGTTATTCATTATGTCAAATAATTGTATTTTTTGAGTCCTCTTGGAGAAATCTGTGGGCTATATATTTAAATAAATAAATAAATAAATAAATAAATATATGTCAATAAAACTTTCTTTCAAATATTATGTATTTGTTAATATTATTAGTTATTTTAAGTCATCAATGAAGAATTATATAATTGTTATATTCATAAGTTTGGCTAAATCAACACAAGTGGAAATAATATTTTTTTGCATAAAGATCTGATTTTTGAAATTCGCATTTTATTTCAAATTAATTATAACTGTCAAAATATTTTCTTTTCGGTCAAAATTTAATTTGATATGATATAATATTTAGTTTGTCTAGTTTGTTTTTGTCAGATTCCATGATACCCGCAGATTGTACTATTCCATTTAAGAGGTTACAATTTCCTGTAAGATTAGCATTTGCGATGACAATCAAAATATATCTTAACTGATATATTATAATAATTATATTTTAATTACACAAATTTCTTTACACTCCGATAAATAATTCCAACGCATCATAGTGTTTTGTTTATTTTAATTTTGTTTATGTCAATTTTTTTTTTAATTAAAGAATAAATTAAATTTTAGTCTAAATCAACGCAGTATCTTTATCTAAATATACAATTTTTTATATAAATATTTGATTTTTTTACATTTGCATTTAATTGAAAAGTAGTGAATGTCATTTCATATATCCAATATGCACTAAATTTATAAATGTCAAAATATTTTCTTCTTGGTCCCAAATTAATATAATATGATAATATTTATTTTACATAACGTTTTGTATCTATAATTTGTTTGGCAATATTGCCTATAACATAACTTGGAATAATTAATTTATTTGCTTCTTATTTAAGAAAGTCGTTAAATATTTTTGTGAAATGTCAAAATTTTGTTTATGATTAATTTTAAATTCAATATGCCGCTTTTTTATTGTGATCTCTGACTATAATGTTTTGATTGAAGTTTTTGATTTCCAAGATAATTTGGTAAGCTAATCAATTAAATCTAAATCGTAAATCTATTTATATAATTATTTCATAATATTGACAAATGACATTTAATTTTTTTACATGTCAACATTGATTTAAATTTTTAAGCATTGATTTTTTAATTAGATTTAAAACATAAGCAGTGATTTTGAATATAGCATTTCATCAAATTTAGATTTAAATGTTGGATATTTCTATATATGAACATGTTTTTGAATTTTATTTTTTGAAATGTCAAATTTTTTTTTCAAAATTGTATGTCGAAATTTCCTTAAATTTTGACATTGTCATTTTAGTGTTTTGTTTTTTTTGATCATTTTCTGTCAAAATTTTTAGAAATTTATAAAATTATATATTTTTGTTTCAAATTACTTTTCAAAATTTCCTATAACCTAAGTTGGATATATATGCACACGATGAGCCAATAAAATTTAAAATCGGTTCAGTAGTTTGGGCGTCCATCGCGAACCAACATCGTGACACGAGTTTATATATATAATATATATATATATATTATATATTAGTGTGGTCCTTAAAATGGTCATTTTTGAATTTCCTTGCTCCCAGGGCTCAAATGGTTCCAAATAGATAAAAAACAATTCTCTGAAAGTTTCAGCTCTTAATATTAACGTTTAGATAGAGCGCAATTCAATCAAAGTTTGTATGGAAAGAGCATGGAAAAATTTTGAAATTAAAAAAAAATGTTTTAGGTTTAACTTAACGACAAATGAATGAGTTTTATTCATTCATTTGTTCACTAAATTACATCTAAAAAACATTTTTAAAATTTTTGAAAATTTTTTCATGCTATCTCCATACAAACACTTTGATTGAATTGCGCTCTATCTAAAAGTTAATATTAAGAGCTAAAACTTTCAGAGAATTGTTTTTTATCTATTTGGAACCATTTGAGCCCCTGGGAGCAGGAAATTCGAAAATGACCATTTTAAGGACCACCCTACTATATATATATATATAGATGTATTTAATTCCATTTTTTTTTTTCAGATTACAAATCGAATATGCAATACAACGCTCTAGACTTCTCAAAACAGCCTCAATCAACAATGCAAGGTACAGGTAAACCAAAATGGAACTGCCTAAAGAAGACGCTCCAAATATTCCAACAGAATCTCAAAACAGATATCCTGCCAAAAAGTTTGTCAAAAACGGCGTCATGGTTTCCCGACACATACAGGTAAATTAATAATCTTATTGTAATACAGTAGAATCCGCTTAGTATGACATCGAAAGGACGCCGAAATCTCGTCATACTAACAGGTCGTCATTAAAGGCGTACTGAAGAAAAACTATTTTAATATGTAAACATGTTACCTGTTTTCTGTAATTTAAAAGAAAAGCCTATACATACATTTCAATTAAAAATAAAAATGACACATATTAAAATTTATTATAAAATAAAATTAACAAAGGGTACTGCGGTTACAGAGGTCCAATTTGACTTTCAGTAATTATACTGTCTAAACCCAATGAACAATCTTGCAACACATAACACACATCAAACAAGCATCTATCGAACTATGTACAAAAAAAATTCACATAGTTTTTAATAATATTTATAAATATTATTTTTTTTACTATTTTTTTAAAATTTGGTATCTGATCCATTTTATCTCACATACGGAGTAAAGTGGAACAACCAGGGGGCGAACAGATGCAATTTCTTCTATTAAATTAAAGGGATTTTACGCTAAATTATTGAACCAATGCAAAATATTAATTCTGTGGGTACATTTTTACAAAGATAACACAGTATATTACATTGATCTGCTATTTGTATGAAATATTCATCAGATGAGCCGGAATAACAATTTATTTAATTAATCTCTTGTAAAATTGCTTTTTTTTTAAACTTTACTATTTTTTATTCTTACACTTTGCCAAAGTAAAGGTTCAGCTGGTCCTTTTTATCCCACTCATGTGCTGCTTATCTTCTGATAGCAAAGTCATAAGAATAAAGGTGATGGCTGGTTATGAATTTATACATTTTTTGCCCTCTACTATCAAATATAATTGTTAAAAAAAATCTAATTTTATTTGTTTACGAGATATCCGTGGTGGACCATTAATAATTGGTCTACCCTACTCATAAACATACAAATGTGATTTTTTAATGTAAGTAATCAGAAATTTTTGATTGATTTCTTTACATAATTTTATTGTAAAAACAGTCCCTGGTGCTATTGTGCACAAAAGACATAGCAATTGCTTTCGTCGACTTGGCCACATCATGTAAAATCATGTCGGTCATTGTAATTAGACATAATTTTTTGCAAAAATGGGTCATTATAAGCGACATGTCAATGTAAGCGATGTCAATATATCCGACTAGACAGCTGTTTTTTTAAGGTATTTTATATGGAAACCAAACTTCCTAATGCGATTACGTCATAATAAGCGGTTGTCAATATATCCGGCGTCATACTAATCGGATTCTACTGTATTTAAATTTATTTACTTTCTAATTGTTTTACCTCAGTGATCCTCTACAACTAAGAGACGACGTCAACTACTCCTATCCAGTGGATTCGTTGAGGAATACAAACCAGGGTCTTTCTTCAAAAGAAACGGAGTATGATTATGAGAAGCCCATAAATCATTTAACGCAAAGTTTTCATGAAGATAGTCTGGGCATGTCGTCCAGGCCGAGACATTTGGATTTAGGTGCTGCACCGAGTAAAATTAATAAGCCTAGGTATCCTGATCCTGATGATTTAGCGAATTCTGCAGGCGGAAGCGGCGGTGGCGGTAAGTTTTTTTTATTATACAATAATTTTTACCACAAGGTTACAATAATTCATAATGGGCAGCTTGGCAAAATTGGTTAAAATACAATTACAAAAGGAATTTCAAAAGTCCTCATCGATGCGAAGTGAGCTAAAATAAATGGCACAAAGTCAAAGGTAAAAAAAATATCTTTCGCAATTTTCAGCTAAATGGTCAGTTTTATCGCAAAATTACCTGAGACAATATTGTAGAGCATAAAATTGTCTACAAAAAGTGCATCAATACTTTTTTTGCTCAGAGCCACCGTTTTAAAGATATATCACTTTGAAAAGTACGTTTAAACCAAGGATGAGCAAACTGCGGCCCGCCGGATGTTTTTCTGCGGCCCGCCAAGCATTTCTCAACTACAGATTATTTTTCTAGATATTTGATCAAATACGGCTGTAGAGGCTAATTTTAACTAATTAACTAAGTAAACTAATAAATATTAGTTTCACAATATTGCAAGAAAAATTGAGAACTTTTCACGAGGTTTAAATTATCGTGAATTTAAACACTTCCTGACAATTTAGAGCGTGAATATATGGCAATGTGCTTTTCAATACCAAAGTATATAGTGATGCATTGCTTAAAGAACCACCCATAGGGCAAACTACAATTGTTTTTCGATATGAAAGAACAATTGTAATACTTTCGTTATTTTGGTAATAAAGAATAATATGCTTTTCACAACATATGTCTTGTTTCACAACAAATTTTAATTGTGATTCCAAATATTTAAGCTAACAAGGCAGCTGTTTTCATGTAAATGTTTTCTTCGCTATTTAACATGCAAAATAATATAGATTTAAAAAATACACTTTTTCAGTAAACACCGAATTTTTTTATAAATCTTATGTCAGCCTAAGAAATTTTCGCTTTTGAAAAAAAACGCAAATCAAATTATGATAAATTATTTTTTTGGAAGTACGTATGTGTGCAAACAATTACACAGGTTCACAAAAGAAAAGTGGCTGGATAATATTTAATTCATTCAGAAAAAAATCTAGATTAAAGATTGTGCCGGTTTTTTAATTCAAATTCAATATTTTGTGCCCAAATTTTGACTATAGATTTATCTTCAGCGGTAAAAGGTACATTGGAAATCATATGTCACACACCCAATTAATTAACTTGTGGTTAATTTCAACCACAAAATTCATAAAAAATCACCACCTATCAAAACTGAGTAAAAAATATCAAAGCTGCATACGCGTTGCATTTCGCATTAAAACAATTAAAATAAAGAACAAAATCTAAAAAAAAAACGCTGATATTGATCAGCTTATATAAAAAACAGTGCTTTTAAATATTATTGGTTTTCATTTTGTATTAATATTCATAAACATTTATACACTCGAAATCATATAAAATATATATAATACTTTGTTCAATTTTGTATTTTTGTTCTTTTCTTGTGGCAATTTTGTAATTTTGTTGCAATTACATTATTTCCGCGCTCAATCAGTAAATCTTTTGACTTAATTTTAGATTAGACTTTTATCAGAGATTATAAAAAAGCTTCAATTTTATTAAAAAAAGCAATTTATTTTTACATGGTTTGTACAGCCGTAACAATTTTTTTAAAATTTCGTTCTTTATTTTAATTTTTTTAATACGGAATGGAAAACTACATACAACTCCAAATTTTCATTATTTTATAATAGTCATTTTAGTAGTCCAATCATTTTTTATTTAGCTCGGTAATCGATCAATTAACTATTATCGCTTTTTTTGTGAATGTTTTTAATTGAAATTCGATCAAGATTTTTCTGAGCTTATAAAAATGCTTAAATTTATCCGCTCTATCCGCATTTGAAAAACAATTCGGATACTAAAACTTCATCAAAACCTTATAGATCAGAGATCACAATAAAAAAGCGACATATTGAATTTAAAATTAATCATAAACAAAAATTTGACATTTCACAAAAAAAATGTTTAACGACTTCAATAGGAAACAAATAAATTAATTATTCCAAGTTATGTTATAGGCAATATTGCCAAACAAATTATAGATACAAAACATTATTGTAAAATAAATACTATCATATTATATTAATTTTCGACCAAAAAGGAAATATTTTGACATTTATAAATTTAGTGCATATTGCATATATGAAATTGACATTAACTATTTAAATTAAATGCAAAAGTAAAAAATCTGATATTTATATGAAAAATTGTATATTTAGATAATGACACTGCGTTAATTTAGACTAATTCATGATGCGAGTGAATTAATTTTGGAAGTATGAAATGTCAAATAATTTTGAAAATTATAACAAGTTTTTAACTATTTGTCAGAAAGAATATATTTTATTACAAATTCATATCCATATCAAGCGTCAAAGTAATAAATAATACTTATTAAATGACATATTATTTATAGACAATATTTAATGAATATTTTAATTATATTTTTTGACATTTGCTAATTCAAAATAAATTAAAAATAATTGAAAACAATGTCATAAATCGGATATTTATGGAAAAATATCAAATAAATATATTTATGTTTCACTTGATTTCAAATAAAGAAAAAACTAATTGCTATGCCAAAATAGATAGTAAATATTACAATTTTGATAAATAATCATCCATTATTTTACAGTACGAAAATTGATAAAAAAAAATTAATAAAAGTGCCAAAAATCAAACATTTTATAGTTTTGGTCTCGGATTTCTCGGAACTTTATCCACGTTAGTTTCAGGGATAGTATGAATATCAATTTATAGTCGAAAATTTATATGATAAGTGATTAAAACATTATAGATCACAATAAAAAAGCGACATATTGAATTTAACATTAATCATAAACAAAATTCTGACAGTTCAAAAAAAAAAAAAGAATTTTTAACGACTTCAAAAAGAAACAAATAAATTAATTATTCCAAGTTATGTTATAGGCAATATTGGCAATCAAATTATAGATATAAATTATATCATAATATATTAAATTTCGACCAAAAACGAAATATTTTGGCATTTAAAAATTTAGTGCAAAGTGGATATATGAAATTGACATTCAATATTTTTAAGTCAAATGCAAAAGTAAAAAATCTGATATTTATATGAAATATTATATATTTAGATAATGGTACTGCGTTGATTCAGACTAAAATCTAATTTATTCATTGATTAAAAAAAATATTTCACTATTTGACATAAATAAAATTAAAATAAACAAAACACTATGATGCGTTGGAATTAATTATCAAAATTTGTGTAATAAAAATATAACATTATTATTAATATATCACGTATATTATAAGAACTTCTGTAAAGCGGCAAAACAGCGTTTGTCGGGTCAGCTAGTATATATATATATATATATAATATATATATACGTGCGGCCTGCCATAAAATTTTGCAAACCAAATTGGCCCGTGGGTTAAAAAGGTTGCTCGCCCTTGGTGGTTTAAACGCATAAAAGTGTCTAAAACTGCTTGAAAATATGAATTAATGTAAAAAATTCCACAAATGGACTCTAAACAATATGTCTTCTATCCAAGGCAATATAGCTGCAGCCATAGACCCTACATACAACCCAAACAACAGTCTAAATTCACACAGCAGTCGAGAATCAGCCAGTCACCTGTTTGGTGGACACAGAAGCTCCCCTTCGAAGATTGCAAACGGAGGTTATAGTCCTTCTACTCCCAATGGTAATAAAAAATATAAAATATATCGGTCTATCCATTAAAAGTCAAGGTATCAAGTTACATATTATTTTTGCAGAGCCTTCAGACTATTGTGAGGACAGTTCTCCAGCGCCCCCTTATATGCCCATACAAGGCCAACGCAGAACTTCATCGTTGGAGAAAAAGAAGAAGAAGACTAAGGACGGCTGTAAGCAACAGTAATTTAATAATATATTAGTAATTTAAAATGATAAATGAATTGATTGATAGTCCAGTGACGTGTTCTCGAATTAAATAGACAATCATATTTTTTATATTGAATATACATATCCCATAATAATTTATTTATATATGTATATATATATATATATATATATATATATATATATATATATATACATTTGCAATGCATGCAAAAAATGCGGGCGCACGCCTTAGGGAGCACCAAAACGAGTTTCGGAAATTAAATTTATAATAAAATATTTATATTTTTTTATATAAAATCTAGAATTATTTATTTAAAATGTAGAATACTTAATAAATTATAATAAATAATTTAACTTAACTAGGGATACGGAGACACAAATAGCTTTTAAATTTATTTTGCAATGTGATATCAGTACAAACAATTAACCGATTAATAATTCTGCAAATTAGTAAATAACAGCTCTGTTTATTGCCTAATCTACTTATTCAATTTTTTCTTTGTTTGAAATAACCGTGGAATCGAAAATAAAATTTTCTAGTGTTCAATCCCGTAAGCGCAAACCTGCGAAAGATTAAATTAATTGTTGGGCATTATTGACGAAAAATTGCGAGCTGATTTAGTTGAATCGGAACTTGTTAAAAATATAAACAAATTATAAAAAATGGGGGCCAATGCTTAGAAAATGACTTGTTTATTCCGAGAAATTAATTGTAACTTTTGCTTTTGTTGCAAATGTTTCGCATCTGTTGACTTTTATGCGTGGAACAAATATGAAAAATGGAAGCAAAATTTACTTTCGAACGAAAATTTTAAGGCTTGTTTTATACCTAGTGGTGTCAATACTCTAAATTTAATAATTATTAACTATACAGAAATAATACATATCAAATATAATAAGTTTTTTTTCCTAGTGATATTGTTCAAGAAATGTGTAATTACTTTGCATTTTTTACTGATTTTCGAACAATACTTCTGAAATACGTTAAAAATTTAACTTTAAAACAACAAACTGATACTCTGAATATGACGGCTCTTACGATATCAATAACGAGAAGTTTACGACGCAATTTTGGATATTGTAAATGATGAAAAATTAAATTAAATTAAAATTTAAAAAATTAAACATGAAATACGAGTGTTATGTTTGAAAATTAAATGCTAGTTTTTTTTAAATATTAATATTGCACATACGTTAAAATAATTGAAAATTTCAAAATACTTGATTATAATCAACCCCCGAATCGCCTCGAAATTTAAAATCAATATAATTTATACGCTTTCATATTATATCTTATTTTTTGTGCACTAAATCCAGAATAATTAAAAATTAATTTATTTATTTCACTTAATATTCTTGTTAAATTAAAGTTATAAAATCTAAGAAATGCATTTCAGAAATAGTATTTATTATTCTGATATCAAAATCTTTATATCAAAATAATAAATACTATTTCTGAAATGCATTTCTTAAATTCTATAATTTTAGTCTAACAAAAATATTAATTCTTTTGCTATGGTAGTCGAACTTACATCCTTAACCAATTTACTACGTATTGAATACATATTACTAAAATGTGAAATTATGACAGGGATTGTTTTATTTATTGATATCGATAATAATAAATGAATTTAAAATCAATATATTTTATACCCTTCTTGATTATATCTAATTTTCTGTGTACTAAAATCCAGAATAATTAAAAATTAATTTTTTAAAATATATGTAAATATTTATATAATTTTAATGATAAAACGGTGAAAATTAATAGGGGGGGCGCTAAAAAAAGTTGCATGCGGGCGCTAAGGACCCCAGAACCGGCCCTGCATATATATATATTTATATATATATATATATATATTATTATTTTCACTTGAAATAAGTTATGGATCTGAAATAATTTAATAATAAAGTAATTTATATATGAAATATATAAAAATAATTATTTATATTTATATATACTATATTTATACGGTAAATTATTGCCTTATTATAATTAATAAGCAATTGTAAATTTTGTAGTCTTGTCTTTTACACCCACAATAAAAAAAATTTAATAAAAGAGTTTATAAGATAGGTGTATTTATTTGTTAATTTACATATTATAGAAATATTTACTTTTAATTTAGTGATATTTTTTTAGAACGGTTTAGTTTTAATTATAATTTATTATTTTAAAGAATAGTTGTTAAGATGATATTATTATTATGTATTTAGATGTTTAGAAACTTTGAGTCGAAAGAAAATTCTTAAAAAATTATAGGCCTATGAAAAATGGTTTAATTATAGGCCTATGAAAATGGTTGAAATTGAAAATTTTTACATTTCTCGACGATTTGAAGGTTTCTGAACATTTTGGCATACCTTCAGAAAAATGGATGTGTGTGTGTGTGTATGTATGTATGGATACAAATTTTCCGCCACGTTTTCGGGCGCACGGATCAATCGATTTGAATGGTTTAAAAAACATTCGATTCCTATTGATAAGATATGTGCTGATTAGTTTTTGGCAAAGGCAGGTCTAGCAGTTACGGAGATACGGAGCAAAGAGTGCAGAAAATAGAAATCGGATTTTTGAGAGAACGGAGTATCCGATTTGAATGATCTAAAAATCATTCAATTAGCAATGAAAGCTATGGCAGGCCCAGCAATTTCGGAGATACAGAGCTAAATGTACAAAAAATGGCAGTTTTTGAGAGAACTAAGCGTCCGATTTAATTGATTCAAAGAACTTTCTGGTTGTCTTAACAAAATAATTGTATTTGGATTTTTTTTTTTTTTTTTTTTAATTTTTTGTATATCGAAAATATTTCATATTTTATTTTTAATTCTGACTATAGTTCTAATATACTTTACAAATAATTTCAACTCTGCAATTCAGTTGATATAATTCTTATAAATATTAGACAATGTTACAATATTTATAATAATCTATTTGAAAACATCAATATTCCTCGAACATTTCGTTACGGTTCGGAAAGTTCCAGCAATTTACCTTAAGGCACGATGCCACCCACCCCACTAGTTTTTAATAACTTCTATAACAAAAAGATAAATGTAGAAATTTGGAATTTTAATGAAACTTTGCATGATAAAAAAACAAAACCTTTAAAATAAAATATTATAGAGAGTAGTATTACTAAAAATTATTGTGGGCTTAAAATTAAATTGCTTTTTATGGACCTATATTATTTTATAGGTTTTCTTTCAACTGTCGATTCCATCAAAATATCACAAAAACTTAGGAATAAATTGCTGTCTTTAAAATTATACACACAGGTTAGTAAAAGTATTCTATATATTATATTTTTAATTACTTAATGTACATAAATTCAGCGTATTGCAAATTACATTCACATTAAATATATAACAACTCTTCAACATTCTCATAAGCATTTCAACAATATTAAATCATCCATTTTATTTACAAATATAATACAAAAAAATTACGTTATCGTTTCTCCAAATTTTTAAACTTAGTTTCTAATCTTTTAGAATACGCATCTAATTTATAAGCGGCTTGTTCAAGTTTATTAACACACTCTTCGATCTCGTTTATTTGCTCTAGACAAGGCAGCAGGGATAAATCTGGACAGAAATAGGAATTAAAAATAAACTTAAGGATTTATTCACCAGGTATGTGATAAAATTTACATTTTTCATCTAAATCAGCTATAGATTTTCCTACATTTGTGGTAATCTGTTTCATATCAGCGTACTTGGATAATGTTACAGTGTTCATTTGTTCTAAAAGTTTGTAGTCTTCCTGTAAGTAATTGGTGTTAGATCGAGTTTTGATGGATTTAGATAAATTGTTGTTACATGTGTGGCTGTTAGTTCTCCGTATAAATAATCAGCAGTCTTTTGAAACATTATGGTAGCCAGGCG